GAGGACGAGGGCCATTCCAGCACCGCATACTCCTGCTCCCCAAGCCAGTCTTGCACCAGACGGGACTTGTGCTTGGGATCATTGTCGTGCTGGAAAATGACCTCTGAGGGGGGGGAGCTTGAAAAAGTCGATGGTTTGTGAGAGTTCATCTTGCAAGATGCTGCGATACAATGGTCCATCCATCCTTCCATCGATCTTGCACATGAACCCCGCCCCCTCATACGTCATGCAACCCCACACCATCACAGATCCACCCCCATGCTTAACTGTCTGTTGGACTTGATGGCTCTGGAGGTTGGTGCCCTCGTGAATCCAGGCGTACGCTCGTCCGTCGGAGCAGAAACGGTTTATCTTAGTCTCATCAGACCAAATCATGCGCTTCCAATCCTCCATCGTCCAGTCGGCATGCGACCTCGCGAAATCCAGCCGATCACGTATGTTTTTCGCACAGAGCCTGGGTTTCTTGGGCTGCTGCACAGCGATCAAGCCCGCGGATCGTAACGAGTTCCTGACGGTCTTCGAGTCTACAGCCAGAGCGTGCTTCTCCTCTAACATCTTTGCGGCATCTACACTGCTTTTCGCCTCCCCGCTGGTAATCGCTCGAACTATTCTGCGTTGGAGGCGGGTTGTGATTAAGCGTGGGCGGCCGACCGTGGGCATCGTGGGTTGCACCTCATCGCCGCTAGTCTCGGCAATCACATTCAGACTGTAATCATGCACGGTGCTCTTGCCTATGCCAAGTTCCTTGGCTATTTTCCTAGTCGAATGCCCCTTGCGCAACATGCTTATGATACGAGCGCGCTTCTTGTCATCTACCGGCTTCATCGTGATGCGGTCGTAGGTTCGCTTCAGGACTAACTCCTAGACTAGCAACTGTTGCGCGAGACAATGTGTACCCTAAGTGAAGCGCGAAAATAGATCTAGTCTATCGCTCGGTATGAACAGTCCGGATCGACCGTCGAGGAGTAAATCTCATCCCCGCTTTTTGGTTGTGTCACAATCATGCCAAGCAGGATACGGTTGAAACAGAACTCGACAACCTTGTAACAGGACCGAAAAAAGTTGGTGTTACTACATTCGAAACATGTATGGCATAGCGATAAGTTTCGAAGTGCTAAACATCAGAGCAGTTTTTTCCGCCACTGTAATTCATATCAGCACTACCGATTCTCTCGCTACTATCTTCGAATAGAAACTCCAACAGAATTTACAGATTACTATCGCTCCTACAGTCACACAGTTTCTCGGACTTAACATCCACCGAACAGCAACCGGACTTACCTACCAAGTTAATACTACGAAAACCTTATATCTTAACGGTGCGACAATCAAAGTGCAATCAGAATTGCGCATCAACCTGGTTTCGCCAACAGGACGAAACATATTTCGCTGCGGTTCTTTTTTTGTCAAAGATGAAGTCGAGAAGGGGAGAATGCAATTGGTCTACTGTTCGACAAATGAAATGGCTGCAGATTTTCTCACTGGTCTACTGTTCGACCAAAGATCCTAAGTTAAGCCTTGAAGTATCGTGTAAGGAAATTCCCTTTTCCTTACTGGGCTCGACTGCAGCGCGTATGCCCTCGACTCTCGAAAGTCCAGGCTCGGCCAATTTCTTCGGTCCCGAACCACTTCGCAAACCCAAACCTCGACGCGCAGCGCTTCCGTGGCTTTCGCCAACCGAATCGCCCCAACCTGTTTGCGTGGTTCTCGGCTAGCTCTGTTCGTGCCTATAAATGCCTAGGCCCTCATTTGTATCAACACTCTTGAATCACGACTCCTTTATTACACTACCTGTTATTACTCTGATTGATTCATAACAGCTGGTATCAGAGCCCCGTTCCGGCCCACTTAGTCTTCCGTAGAGTAGTCCGTTTATATCGGGAGAGGACCTGACAGAATAGAGGGTTGGCCAGCGATTGGTAGGCGAGCTCGTTAAAGCTCCTCCAACTAAAAGCATGTGCACCCTCAGATCTGTCAGGTAAAATTTCCAGCATGACTAGCACGCCGGAAACCTCTGCCCGTCGTAGTGTTAGGAACATGACTCAGGAGGAGTTTGACGAGTTGCAAGCCAGGGCGGATACAGTGACGACACTGCAGGCCCAGTTTCGACAACTCGCGGACAGGTTTGAGTCCCTGGGAAGCGAAGTTCAGACGCTGCGCAACGAAAACTCGTCTCTTCGCTAGGCGCGGGGTGAAACGCGTCAGGAGCGGCCTGTTACCCGAGACGAGGATGCTGCAAGCGAAGCGAGGGCGTCGGCGACACCTGAAGCAGTTGAAGAAGTCCACAGTGAGCCACAGGCGGCCATTAAAATCAAGCCTCCGATGCCCCCACCGTTCAACCCGACCGACAGGACAACTACAGTGAGTGGGTGGCTGTTCGCCATGTAAATCTTCTTCACGACACACTTGGCTGTGTCGCTGCTGAGAGGACCGGCACTCGATTGGTAGCACATGCATCTTGATGAGGGAGGCGCCCCGGCAGGGAATCAATGGGCGGCAGCTAGGGAGATAAGTTTATCAACGGCGAAGGCAGACCCAATCTTTGGATCGGCCACGATTCGCACGTGGAAAGCGTGGGGCGAGGCGTTGAAGGGCAGATTCGAGCACATATCCATCCGCGAAAATGCTCGCACAAAGATTCGAATGTGGAGACAGTTGGGCTCTGTCCAAGAATACACGGCGTCGTTTTTTACAATCTGCGACCAAATCGGAGGGATCAGCGAGGACGAGAAAATTGATCGCTACGTGGGAGGACTCAAGTTGGAGATTTAGCAAGAAATCATCCTACGAGCCCCGACGACCTTCAACGAGATTGTTCGCATAGCAGATGCGCTGGACGCACGACGTGGACTCGCAAGAGCGGGTTTCCGGGAGGGAAATCGCTTTCGAGGCCAGCCCCAACACACATCAATCAACGGCATGGACGTGTTTGCAACCCAAGTATTTTCGAGGACATGCTTCCACTACAACCAGCCGGGTCACATGGTGAGGGAGTGCCCGCAGCTGATGAAGAACTTACCTAACGACAAGAAGCAGTCAGGAAATGGAGATCGTCAGTAGCAGATGGGCCACCTACTGACTTGACTGCGTTGCCCAAACGCCACCACCCCCACCAGGTTATAGTGCCGATTTGGGCTATCGACCATTCCTGGCTGAATAAGGGGGGTGAACCGGTTGATCACCCTGTGCTGGTAGAAGTGAGAGTTGGCGATACCCGCATAAAAATATTCGTTGATGGCGGGGCGAGCCACAGTTTGATTGATATGACGAAGGCGAAAAAATTGCGACTACAACTGGAGCGCTGCATGCCGCAGATCGACGCGAGATTGGTCGACGGCACCCCACTGGCAATTCGGGAGCGAGTAACTCACGTGCGAGTTACCTGCGGCGAAAATTTCAGCTTCACGACGAAGATGCTGGCGATAACGTTGGACGACTGCGACATGCTGCTGGGACGCGATTGGCTGTGCGAATACAACCCGAGCATCGACTGGCGGACGGGTGACTGTCGCATCAAATGGAATGGCGAGTGGCGACGACTTCAGAAGTGGAGCAGTCAAGATTTTGCGATATCAACAGTCAGCGCGATTACCATCAAGCGAGCGATGATTCGCGGGGCGCAACTGTACGCCGTTAGATGGATCGCATCCACGGCTCTCGATTCACCAGCCGACATCGACAAACTCTGCGCAGCTGTTCCAGACGACTTGGCGACATTGATACGCAGCCACGCCGACATTTTTCCAAACGACCTACCGGCGGGTTTGCCATCGGAGCGGGCCCACGACCACAAAATCGAGTTGGAACTCGACGCGCAACCGACTGTTTGGACTCAATGGCGGCTGACTCAGCCCGAGTTGGATGAACTTCGACGACAGCTGGACTACCTGCTCGAGAAAGGTTTCGTCCGCCCCAGCACTTCACCGTTCGCAGCCCCGATCCTGTTCACCCCGAAGAAAGATGGACCGGGTTGACTATAGCGCGTACGCCCTCGACTCTCGGAAGTCCAAGCTCGGCCAATTTCTTCGGTCCTGAACCACTTCGCGAACCCAAACCTCGATGCGCAGCGTTTCGGTGGCTTTCGCCAACCGAATCGCCCCAATCTGATTGCGTGGTTTTCGGCTAGCTCTGTTCGTGTCTATAAATGCATAGGCCCTCATTTGTATCGACACTCTTGAATCACGACTCCTTTATTACACTACATGTTATTACTCTGATTAATTCATAACATATCGCAAGGCTGTAATACTGACATTGGTGTTACAACTTGTTAATACTGGCTGTTACTGGAGGTACTTCCAGTATTACTTTCTACTTCAAGTACTTGTGTCTGCCAATTCTATACTTAGTCTCCTGTACCACGTGAAATTCTTTCAGGGGACAACAGCTGGCTGTGAATGAGTTGAGATGTTGGTGTGATCATTTTGTTTTTTGTTTGTCTTTGTAATTTTTTTGCGGATTACTTTCTACAAGCCACGTTTCTCACCTTCGGAAGTCCCTATAAGGGAACGACCAACCAGCCCCCGTTTCTGCTGTGACCATGTTCCTTCATGCAGCCTCCAACCAGCATAGTCGAGTCACCCACTGGCGGTTGCCAGTAGAGCCCAGCACGAGACACCCGCCATGGCTCCACTCACGCGTCCTACCCATACAGCTCCTTTTCTATGACGAGGATAGCAACTACGGCAGGTGTAACTCATGGTACCTTAGGCGAACACTGTGATGGGTTTTATCGCGTAAAATTGGACGCGATGTGCTCAAGATCCCGCGAGCGTTCTCCCAAGCGACACGTGTTATGGACACAGTCCCATGCGTGATTCTTGAGTTTGTCTGCCAGCTGCAGAGAAGCAGGCGTGGCGCCATATAGTATTGCCAGTAGCGCCTAGAATGAGAAATGTACGCGGCATCGGATAGAGAGACGCGGCGCCGCGACGAGCCTATGCCCGAGCCGCCACTTCCATGTAAATAGGGCCGCTCGCCATAGAGCTGGCACATTCTGGGTGTGGCCCGGCTCTCATCGGGAGCCGGGCTGACCAGGAGCAGCAGCTCGCACACCCGGCCATTCCGCTCGCTCCACCGAAGGCTGCCCTCTGCTGTTGCGCTGAATCTGGTTCTTGCACGGAATATCTGGCAGCTGCTTGACGGCGGCAGAGGATCGCGTCAGAGGAGGTCCTGCACTCGCGCGACACATTTCTGGTGAGGCGACACAGCGCCAAGGAGCAGAGCCCGGCGGCTGGTAACAGCTGGAAGTAGGGTGCAGCGCCAAGGAGCAGAGCTTGTGGAATGGTGCCTGTGTGAGGGCTGAGGTTGCATGAGATGAGTCGCATAGCACCACTGGGTAGAGGACTGACCGCTGCAGCGAGCGGGCATCACCATTTCCAGCCACAGGTGTTGGTGCAAATGATCCACAGGGAATTTCCCCTCAGTGCAAATGAGGCCGGTTGTGACCCGTTTGGAGTCCGCATGAGCTTGGACTCTCAAGAGGAGATGGGACGGATGGCCATGGCTTGTCCTTGATTACCTTCAGATTCGAGCCCATGCAGACTCATCATTGAGCCTGTACAAGTTTGGATTCTCTAGGCGGTCAAGGATTGCGATGGACTGTCCTGACTCGTCTTCAAGTCCGAGCTTATGCGGACTCCCTTGTTGTATCAGCTTAGTCCTATACCCAATGGAGGTATGTAATTCTCTTGCCTAAATGAGTCAATTTTCTTGGTAGAGCTATGTCATTCTCTATGTCACTCGATGCTCATTCTGCCATATTCGTGTAAGGATTTTAAGAATCCTTACTGGGTTTCGCCACAGCGAGAACCGTGAACAGTGCGCATTCGCAGCCTGCCCTCAAGTCTCGCGTCAAACACCCTGCCGACCTATTCGGACCCAAACATGTTTCCGAGGCGTCCCCAAACCAATTTGACCCCGTCACCCTCGGGAATACCGAGCCCTTGACTGGTCCAACTCTCGAGGCTCAACGTGATCAACTAGCACTATATAAGCCCGAGGCCTCATTTGTATTGACACATTCTGTAGTCATGTTCCCTTATAGAATTCTGCGATAAACCCTGAGTTATATTTCATAACAATTCGAGTCGCGGCCAGGTTTGTGGTTCTCGGACATGTTTCGCCACCGTCGTTGCCATGCTGCAATCTCGGGAAAATTTCTGCCGCGGACTGTCCACGAAACTTTTCATACTTTCGTGGACAAGCCCTACTTTCATGGACACCACATCGAAGTTTTGCTTCTCCTGTGGACTCCGTCAATACTTTCGTGGACTCCCGGCTTACTTCCATGGACACACCCATATTCGCAGTTAAAAAGGAGTATTCAGCAATGTACAAGTGATTACGGGCACAAAAATCGAGATACTCCAGAATATCTGTCCGTCGCAAGTAATCGCGAGCTACAGTGTCGGAAACCAGTTCTGAAACAGAATCTCGGAGCTTTTCTGGGAAGAGTTTGCAGCCGCACTCAAATATGCAGTGAATTTTCAAAAACAGGGTGTATTAGGGTCCGCGTGGTAAAAACACTTATTATTCAACTCAGAGCTACCCAACAAAACATAATATGCACGTGCTTGACGAGCCAGCATCAACCAGCAGTTGTTTTCTCCTTCATAATAAATAATTTCATTATTAGTAATTCTGTGAAAAAAAACACCTAAGAAATATATTTTTTAGAATCACTTGTTTTTATTTGCATTAGTATGTTTCTCGTTCAAACATAAAAAAAAAATATTCCCAAAAGCGTGAATGTAAAATAGTTAAATCATTTTCTCATCTATTATTATTTTACTATGTACCGAAATTTTAATAATAATACAATCAAGACGTGAAACCTTCCATTTATATAGTCATGTTCACCAAACGTTATTGGTATTCTGAGATTTCACATCTTAGTTGAAAATGCAAGCCAAGTACTAGTTGAAATATTTGTAAATGCCAGAATTCATGGTATTCCTGATTCTTGGTAGGCAGAGATTTTTAATGAGCTCTATTAATCTTGTAAGCGTAATATCTATCTTTATTCTACAACGTGATTTTTTTGTAGCGATATTTCACCAGGTCGGTCTGCTACACTTATCGTTCAACGAAAAGCGCTTCGTGACAGTCATTCAAATGAATTTTGAGGATCGCTTCAGAGTTTCTATAAACACGCGAAACAGCTAGCGGACTTGGTGGCTTGAAAATACTGTAGCTTGCGACTATTTGCGAGGGACTTGATTACGCCTAATTCTGCTTTTTTTCTCCTGTCAGCATCTGTACAGTTCTGTATGTTTTTTTTGTTTCAAACTCGCGTGTGTCCATGGAAGTAAGCCTGGAGTCCACGAAAGTATTGACGGAGTCCACGGGAGATGTGAAAGTTCGATGTGGTGTCCATGAAAGTAGGGCCTGTCCACGAAAGTATGAAAAGTTTCGTGGACAGTCCGCGGCAGCAATTTTCCCTGCAATCTCTCCATGGAACCGGTCCATGCGAAGTCACGGCTTTTCTTGGCGAGCCCCAGTGCCTTCCCCACTTCCTGCGACACGACAGAATATGGTGACACTGCTGGCGTTGTCGGTACTTGGCCTTTACATAAGGTAGAAACATATGCTTCCGCACAACATCAGTCGGTAGCATGGCGCATCCATCGCGCGGTGGCTGCGTGCCTTCCATTCGCTCTTTCGATGCGAAGTCCTCCGCTTCTCGTTCTTGACGGAACCGATTGCGCGCGAATCGCGGAGAATAAGAGGCACGAGTGTCCCGAAGAGACCGAGAGAAAGAGGCCATCCGGCCGCTAGACGACGCGCGTTGCAGTTCAGAAGCCAGTCACTATCTTGTGACAATTCCCTGTCTCTGGCGCGTAGAAAACGGGTCGTCAAAAGTGTCCGTCGTATGCGGCTGGGCAGGATGATTATCTGCCGACAGGAGCGATGGCGCGGCGCCACGCTGCTGCTTATTTGCCTCCTATTAATCGGCACGCGGCATGTGCGGCCCGTGGGCGCCGCGGTGGACTACGGCGGCGCGCTGGCGAAGGCGATTCTGTTCTTCGAGGGGCAGCGGTCCGGGCAGCTCGCAGGCGCCGCCATTCCCACCACCATCTCGTGGCGCGGCGACTCGGGCCTCTCCGACGGCACCGCGCAAGGGGTAACTAAACCGACCCGCAGCTGCTATGGTAACAGCACGCACAGGTGTAACTCTCCGTGGCGTGAATAGCAGTGCGGGTGGTAAGGCGCCTGGAGGGCGTTTCCACTACTCCTGTGTGTCCCTCAATTCCCTCCCCTCCTCACCAGCAGTGCGGCGTGCAAGTAGTCACACGGATCCACATGCCCCTACCTTTCCTCTCTTGCTCGCACACCTCGCGTCCACCACCAGTCGCACCTCAGCCATTTCTTGTGCCTCACACGTGTCTTCTTTTTGCCACCCTTATCCCTCCGCGCGAAGCCTAGTAGTCCACCCTAGCACTCCCCAGAATGGCACGCTTGCACGACAATAGCCCATGGACCCTCCATCGCCTTCCCCTTCTCCTTCCTCATGCAGACCTGTGCAGCACGCACAACTACAGCAACTACGCCCGTCACCTGTCAAGCCATCTCCCCCCTCCCCTCCCCCCTCCCTCCTTCTCCCCCCATCCCCCCTCCCCCTCCCCAGGTGGATCTGCGCGGCGGGTACTACGAGGGCGGCAGCAACGTGAAGGCGGGGCTGCCGGGGGCGTTCGCCGCCACCATGCTGGCGTGGAGCCTTGTCGACTTCGCCCGCCACGTCGACGCCGCAGGCGGCGCCACGCAGCTCGCTGCCGCCCGCAACGCGCTGCGCTGGGCGGCGGACTACCTGCTCAAGACGCACACCGCCGCCAATGAGCTCTGGGCGCAGGTGGGCGGACTGGGGGGAGGGGCCGGGGAGCAAGGAAGGGGGGGGTTCTGATGAGAAGGGACGAGTATGGCTGCTGTGGTGATGGCTGTGATTCTGTATGCACGCATTCCCCAACCGTATGTGTGTATTGTAGCCTGGGTGGTGCTCTGCTTCTCCCCATGAACCATCCCTCCCACTGCTGTGTGAACTGGGTCTGGGACACGCGTGCTCATCTCACATCCCCACACCCATGCACACGCGCGTGCAGGTGCATGGTGCCCATCGCCGCATGTGCTGCTGTTGTGCTTCATGTGTGTTGGAACTAAATTCGTGTGACATGCCTCATTAACAATGCGCTGGATGGACCAGCAGGAGTTGGGGCGCGTTGGATCAATGGGGGCGACCTGAGCTGAGCCTACAAGCGCTGCAGTCATGCCTGCATGTCACCTCGTGTCTCTCGCCACACCCTGTTGGCGTTACAGGTGGGCGACCCGGTGACGGACGGGGCGTGCTGGCAGCGGCCGGAGGACATGAGCACGTCGCGCACGGCGTACCGCATCAACGCCACCCGCCCCGGATCCGACCTCGCCGCTGAAACCGCCGCTGCCCTCGCCGCCTCCTACCTGGCATTCAAGCCCGTCGATGCCACCTATGCCAGCACCCTGCTCTCTCACGCCCAGCAGGTAGTGGCTTCTGGGTGCCAGCCAATACCTTCCATGCATGACCACATATGCTCAGATGCCCTGCTGCCCCCCTCTGTGCACCAGAAGAATTGCACTGTTTCGTATGGAGGCAGCATGAGGTCCGCTTTTCTCCTCCATTCTTTTATGAGGGGGTTGTGGCTTGCGGGTTTCAGCAACTGGTTTGTGCATCATGCTACTTGAGTACTTAGCCTTTTGGTGGTGGTGGTGGTGTGTGTGTGTGTGTGTGTGTGTGTGTGTGTGTGTGTGTGTGTGTGTGTGTGTCGGGGGGGGGGGGGGGGGGTAGGGGACTTTACTGTCTCACAGCTACTCACATCCCATCCCTGCCCACAATATGTGGCTCTGACTTCAATCCCCCTCCTATCCCCGTGCCCGTCGCAGCTGTTCATCTTTGCAGACGCCTATCGTGGCAAGTACAGTGACTCCGTCCCGTTTGCCCGCCTCAGGTTCCCCTCCACCGGTCAGTCTCTCCCCCCCCTCCTTTATCCGCACTCACATTCGTCGCTCTTCCCCATCCCTCCTTTGCAAGTGTTGTCAGAATATGACTTGAAGTAGTGGCACTACAGATGGATAGCAACAGATCCGGACTTTAGAAATGAGCCACTCCAGATTTTTGAATGGCAACGTATAAACTGCGAATGAGAACTGTTCTACAGAAGGTCCTTGTACCACACGTGGGAAGCTCCCACAGGCCGAGAGATGTGAGGAGGATGCGGCGGACTGACCCCTGAGCACAGGTAAGGAATAACGGGGCGGATGAGTCCAATGAGGTGGCAACGGAATGAGGCAAGACAGGAGGGAGTTTGCTGGAATCAATGGCAGGATAAACGTTTAAGGTTGGAGTGCAGAGGCAGAGGCGATAGAGAATGGTGGAATGTGAATGCTCCCGGCAAGGCAAGGGCACGGTGAGGGGTTGTGGCAGTGTGGGGTTGGCGTGTGGGCGCGCGTGCAATGGAGGACCGGAGGGCACATGCGCTGCGCGTGACTGCATCAGCAACCAGTGGTGAGAGGATGACCACAGAGAGTGACATGGGCCAAATGAATGGTAGGCATCGCAACATGTTCAAGGCTATGTTGGCATAAACGCATTTCCGCGTTTTTGCGTTTCGTTTGGAACGCTTGCGTTCAGGACGCAAAACGTAGGATTTCAGGCTTCAAATACGCTTGGAAAACGCCTGCCCGGGCAGGCGAAAATTTTTGCCCGGGCAGGGGAAATAGGGGGGGTGGGGTGGAGGGGGAGGAGAGGGGTGAGGAGGGGACAGCAGAAATTTTCTTTTCACATTAACATCACGCTAAGGACACACATCCACAGCCACATCTCTCGACTACCTATCTCCTCTCCATCATCTATGCCTCTTCCATCCGACCTTCTACATCTCCCCTACTCATTCTCATCCTCCATCACATTATCTTCCCCCTCCTCCGCCGCCACATCTCCTGACTACCTATCTTCTCTCCATCATCTATGCCTCCTCCATCTGACCTTGTACATCTATCCTACTCATACTCATCCTCAAGCACATCATCTCCCCCCTCCTCTGCCTCCTCCTCGAGCACATTGTATCCCTCCGGCATGGGGGGCTCGGGGATGTTCCCGGCATGGTGTGGACTGAGTCCCACACCGCCCAATTGCGCTCGCATGCGGCTGCAGAGACGGCCTGTGTGAGGACACGGCAAGCGAGGGCGGTGAGGGCGGGATGGTCGGTGCCATGCCAAGTCCACCACCGCACCATGTCCATCTCTCCCGCCTTCACCAACTCACGGTCAGCGATTGCCTCGGCAAGGCCAAAGCTGCCGCGCATGGTGAAGAAGTCGGTGAGGCCATCGTGAAGCACCACTGATTCCTTCACCGTCCTCCCATTCGGGAGGGTGACCATGCGCCGGTCGAAGTGGGTGGAGAGGAACTTTTTCAAAACAGTGGTGCACTCCTTATCCTTGCGGAAGATTCCCTCTGTTTGGTTGGCCGGATTGAGCATCCGGTCAACCACGTGCAAGGGGCAAGCCAAGTCTTGATCCCACCTCTTCTTCACCAACCCCCGGATCTCTTCCGCCTCGTCCTCGTTCAGGAACTCCTCCCCACGCTTGTCGAGCATGTCATCCATGTCCACGGTGAGTTGCAACATGAGGTCGTAAATCTTACCCATCATTCCCTTCGCCGACGAATCCGTGGCCCGCATTACCATAAATGGCAGCTGCATGAGGTGGGTGAAAGCTTCAGCCACATTCCACCACTCACCATCCATGACCGCTGTGCTAAACACCTCTGCCGCTGCCCTCCTCGCCCCTGCAGCAGCAAAATCCTTCCACTCGTTGCTCAGGACGAGTTGCGTCAAGGCCCGCCGCACCTCACTCAAGCGCCCCACCGCTATGTAGGTGGTCCCGAAGCGAGTACCGGCCGGCCGCAAAACTTGTTTCGTCTTTCCCCCGTCCACCTTGCAGTTGCGCATGAAGTTCTGCGTGAACTGATGCTTGCGGACGAAGGCGATGATGTAATCCGCCTTCTCCACCACTGCCCGCGCCCACGCCATCTTCCCAATGTCCTCCATGAGGAGGTCCAAAACATGCGTGGCGCACGGGACCTTCTCAACGTGGGGAAATTCTGCCATCAACTCCCTGCACGCCTCGTCGTAATTGCTGCCGCCGTCGGTGCAGAACGCAACTAGGTTGACAAAAACGCATTTGCAAGTTTGCGTTTTGAGTTTAAACGCAAACGTTTTAACGCAATACTCAAAAACGCATCAAAACGCTCGAACGCACCGCGGAATTTTACCGGGCTGACCGAAGCAAAAAACGCAAAAAAAAAACGCGCGATATCAGAAATCGAAATTGCATTTCGCCGCGCGTCGCGAATCGACAGCACATTTCGCGCGTTGCACATTCGCGAAAATTTTCACAGCGACACATAAACTTGTCAGTCTCTCCCTCCCTTTTCCCAACGTGTTTGAATTCCCAACCCATTCCCCCTTACTAGATCCAGATCTATATGTAGAGGAGAACTTGGCTCACCTTCCATGCACAGCCACGATCTACTCCTACCCTTACGTTTTAGATTCCAGCAGCTAACCTATCCGATTTCCAGCCTCTAACATGGCGTCCTCCTCATCGCCAGTACATGCTCCTCAATCGGATGAGGGCGAGGGTTCCACCGGTGTCACCACGTTCGTCGAACAGCCCGACCATGCGATATTCAAGCACTTTAGGACGGGTGTGGCAGCGGACGGTAAGCTGACAGAGTCGCGAAAGTGTCACTACTGTCCCGCGACATTCGTTGGTGGCACGACGCGCGCCGCACAGCATTTGACGGAGTGGAACGGGATGAAGCGTCGTGGCGTCCACCTCTGCCCCGCCGTTCCTAAGAAAGCTCGTGACGAGGTCAAGGCGCATCAGGAGCGAAACAATGAGTCGAGGGACTGCAGGCGTCGTGCAGAGTCCTTGGCGCTGCAAGCTGTCGGCGGCGACGGGATGAGAGGCCGCATGACCGATTTTTTCGGTGATGAGCCCACGTGCAATCGGAAAGCTGCGGATGAGGCGATATGCCTCATGTTCGCGGCTCTTCGTCTGCCAGAGCACATCGCGGACAACCCCATCTTCACCAACGCCATCTCCTGCATTGGTCGTGCAGGCGCTTCCTATGTTGCCCCCAAGCGGCGGTACATAGGAGGTGCGGGGCTGCAGACATGCCGCACGCGTGTGGAGACAGCGCTTGGCCCCATCGCCGCCAGCTGGGAGAGGGATGGCGTAACCCTAGCCAGCGACATGATGACTGATGTGAACGGGAGGCCGCAGGCAAACATACTTCTCATCAACGACAGTGGGGCAGTGTTTGTGGAGTCGATCGATACGAACATGGAGTTCAAAACGGGCGGGTACATCGCGAGCATCCTCCGCCCGATCGTGCAGCGCGTGGGCCCGGAAAACATCGTTGCGTTCTGCACCGACGGCGGCAGCAATTACGGCGCGGCGTGCAGGGAGTTGATGGCAGAATTTCCCCACATTGAGAAGGTCCCGTGCGCCACGCATGTTTTGGACCTCCTCATGGAGGACATTGGGAAGATGGCGTGGGCGCGGGCAGTGGTGGAGAAGGCAGATTACATCATCGCCTTCGTCCGCAAACATCAGTTCACGCGGAACTTCATGCGCAACTGCAAGGTGGATGGGGGAAAGACGAAACAAGTTTTGCGGCCGGCCGGTACTCGCTTCGGGACCACCTACATAGCGGTGGGGCGCTTGACTGAGGTGCGGCGGGCCTTGACGCAACTCGTCCTGAGCAACGAGTGGAAGGATTTTGCTGCTGCAGGGGCGAGGAGGGCAGCGGCAGAGGTGTTTAGCACGGCGGTCATGGATGGTGAGTGGTGGAATGTGGCTGAAGCTTTCACCCACCTCATGCAGCTGCCATTTATGGTGATGCGGGCCACGGATTCGTCGGCGAAGGGAATGATGGGTAAGATTTACGACCTCATGTTGCAACTCACTGTGGACATGGATGACATGCTCGACAAGCATGGGGAGGAGTTCCTGAACGAGGACGAGGCGGAAGAGATCCGGGGGTTGGTGAAGAAGAGGTGGGATCAAGACTTGGCTTGCCCCTTGCACGTGGTTGGCCGGATGCTCAATCCGGCCAACCAAACAGAGGGAATCTTCCGCAAGGATAAGGAGTGCACCACTGTTTTGAAAAAGTTCCTCTCCACCCACTTCGACCGGCGCATGGTCACCCTCCCGAATGGGAGGACGGTGAAGGAATCAGTGGTGCTTCAGGACGGCCTCACCGACTTCTTCACCATGCGCGGCAGCTTTGGCCTTGCCGAGGCAATCGCTGACCGTGAGTTGGTGAAGGCGGGAGAGATGGACATGGTGCGGTGGTGGACTTGGCATGGCACCGACCATCCCGCCCTCACCGCCCTCGCTTGCCGTGTCCTCACACAGGCCGTCTCTGCAGCCGCATGCGAGCGCAATTGGGCGGTGTGGGACTCAGTCCACACCGCCAAGCGCAACCGCTTGGGGTCGGAGAAGTGCCGGGATTTGGTGTACGTGGCCCACAACTGGCATGTGGTCCACAACTGGTACAAGAAGGAGGAGGGGCTTGGGGTTGTTGCTGGGAACATCCCCGAGCCCCCCATGCCGGAGGGATACAATGTGCTCGAGGAGGAGGCGGAGGAGGGGGAAGATGATGTGCTTGAGGATGAGTATGAGTAGGATAGATGTACAAGGTCGGATGGAGGAGGCATAGATGATGGAGAGAAGATAGGTAGTCAGGAGATGTGGCGGCGGAGGGGGAAGATAATGTGATGGAGGATGAGAATGAGTAGGGGAGATGTAGAAGGTCGGATGGAAGAGGCATAGATGATGGAGAGGAGATAGGTAGTCGAGAGATGTGGCTGTGAATGTGTGTCCTTAGCGTGATGTTAATGTGAAAAGATAATTTCTGCTGTCCCCTCCTCACCCCTCTCCTCCCCCTCCCCCCCACTCCCCCTATATCCCCTGCCCGGGCAAAAATTTCCGCCTGCCCGGGCAGGCGTTTTCCAAGCGTATTTGAAGCCTGAAATCCTACGTTTTGCGTCCTGAACGCAAGCGTTCCAAACGAAACGCAAAAACGCGGAAACGCGTTTATGCCAACATAGGAACGCAACGATGTTTTCCGGGCCCACGCGCTGCACGATCGGGCGGAGGATGCTCGCGATATACCCGCCCGTTTTGAACTCCATGTTCGTATCGATCGACTCCACAAACACTGCCCCACTGTCGTTGATGAGAAGTATGTTTGCCTGCGGCCTCCCATTCACATCAGTCATCATGTCGCTGGCTAGGGTTACGCCATCCCTCTCCCAGCTGGCGGCGATGGGGCCAAGCGCTGTCTCCACACGCATGCGGCACGTCTGCAGCCCCGCACCTCCTATGTACCGCCGCTTGGGGGCAACATAGGAAGCGCCTGCACGACCAATGCAGGAGATGGCGTTGGTGAAGATGGGGTTGTCCGCGATGTGCTCTGGCAGACGAAGAGCCGCGAACATGAGGCACATCGCCTCATCCGCAGCTTTCCGATTGCACGTGGGCTCATCACCGAAAAAATCGGTCATGCGGCCTCTCATTCCGTCGCCGCCGACAGCTTGCAGCGCCAAGGACTCTGCACGACGCCTGCAGTCCCTTGACTCATTGTTTCGCTCCTGATGCGCCTTGACCTCGTCACGAGCTTTCTTGGGAACGGCGGGGCAGAGGTGGACGCCACGACGCTTCATCCCGTTCCACTCCGTCAAATGCTGTGCGGCGCGCGTCGTGCCACCAACGAATGTTGCGGGACAGTAGTGACACTTTCGCGACTCTGCCAGCTTACCGTCCGCTGCCACACCCGTCCTAAAGTGCTTGAATATCGCATGGTCGGGCTGTTCGACGAACGTGGTGACACCGGTGGAACCCTCGCCCTCAGCCGATTGAGGAGCATGTACTGGCGACGAGGAGGACGCCATGCTAGAGGCTGGAAATCGGATAGGTTAGCTGCTGGAAGTTAAAACGTAAGGGTAGGAGTAGATCGTGGCTGTGCATGGAAGGTGAGCCAAGTTCTCCTCTACATATAGATCTGGATCTAGTAAGGGGGAATGGGTTGGGAATTCAAACACGTTGGGAAAAGGGAGGGAGAGACTGACAAGTTTATGTGTCGCTGTGAAAATTTTCGCGAATGTGCAACGCGCGAAATGTGCTGTCGATTCGCGACGCGCGGCGAAATGCAATTTCGATTTCTGATATCGCGCGTTTTTTTTTTGCGTTTTTCGCTTCGGTCAGCCCGGTAAAATTTCGCGGTGCGTTCGAGCGTTTTGATGCGTTTTTGAGTATTGCGTTAAAACGTTTGCGTTTATACTCAAAACGCTAACTTGCAAATGCGTTTTTGTCAACCTAGGTTCAAGGGCCCTGAGCTGGATCCTGTGCTTCAATTGGTCTTCTTGAAGTGCCATGTGCCTGTAACTTACTTGGGTGGTTGCTTCATCACTTACTTGTTAGGTGGCGCCTTCCAGGCGGGGGTGATTGATGGGAAGATTGAACAAGTGATGTGACAGAATCAAACGTGTGGAGACTGTCGTCCATAATTGTTTCCTGCACTCAACTGTGCTGCATGTCACCCTGCAGCAGTAGAACACGAACACGATTCTTGAATGCATCCCATTTGTTTAGCTGGAAGTGTAGTATTTGCTTCATGCCGATGATAATGATTTTCTAGTTTCTTGTTGGACTTCTTGTGTTCATTTTTAAAGCTCTACAGAATTTGGTGGATTCCCTCCATGAAACGTGCAGGATATTACGATGAGTTGGCGTGGGCGGCGGTGTGGCTGTACAGGGCGACGGGGTTGAAGCGGTACTTGGAGTATTTGCAGCGCAACGAGCCGGCCATTGGCGGGACGCAGCAGATGCAGACAGAAATGAGCTGGGACCAGAAGCTGCCCGGCGCACAGGCGCTGCTCGCTAGGGTGAGTCGTGAGTGGCGGTGCCGGCTAGGGTGAGTGGGCGGTTCTCAGAGTAACCGAATGGAGTAGAATGAGAGATACAGGGTGGTTTTGTCCTAAGGCGTTGTACTCTCTATGAGCATGTACCTATCTAGCCTATAACATATACAAATATATGTTGACAGCGGTGCCGGCTAGCCAGGGCGAGTGGTGGTGGTGGTGTTGCTGGCTAGGGTGAGTGGTGCTGTTGGCTAGGGTAAGTGTTGTGTTCTGATATAGTTTGGAGAGGACTAGCCTGTAGAGTGTACGCTAAGGTTAGTACCCTAAGATTGGGTTGGGTTCAAACCTAGGCTTGAGCATTAACCCAACCCGACCCGACCCGACCCGACTTTGCCTAACCCGAGGTCGGGTTCGGGTCGGGTCGGGTCGGGTCAGGTCGGGTCGATGTTAGGATTTTACCGACCCGACCCGACCATAGCTGGTCGGGTCAGCTCCTACCCGCGGTCGGGTCGGGTTGATGCGACCCGACCCGACCCGACTTGACCCGACCTAACTAGCAGCTATTTTTTCCCCAGGGGGGAACAGCTGAGTCCTCCAGTGAGTCCTCCTCGCGTCTCCTAGCCCACCCTCCTCATCCCCCCGCAACCTCGACATGTGGTTTTGGGTGTTGGCGAAGTATTGGTTAAAGCCCGAGTCTAGAATGGTTTGCTATCAAGTTCAGGAATCCTGAACTTGTTTTCGTCCAATAGAGGGTAACGTAGTAAATGCCGTTTGAACGTCGCAACTCTCAGGGAACAAGCGGCAGCTCGCGAATGCCGCTGAAAAGGACAAACCCGTAATTACTGTAGCGCTCAGTATTCTTGAGTTTCGCCCGTGACCATTCTGAACGCATTTTTGTGGGGGTCTCGTGTCACATTGTTCCCCCCTTCCCCCGCCTCCCCACACTGTTCATGCGCTGTTGAACTCGGATGTTGCCGACGAAATTCCTTGCTGCGATCACAGTTCTGCTATTTCGCCGAATTCTGGGTTCGTTGGGGGAACTTTGCCGAAATTACTTTCGCCCAGGTTTTTTGGCACTGTTTTCATGCCCAGTATTCATGGTTTTTTACCATTCTAGACTCGGGCTTTAAGTTGGAGGATGTTGATGAAAACCAGTGACGGAATGAATGGGTGTTGGCGACTTTTTGGTTGGTTTAGGGGTGTGGCGAAAGATTTTGGTTTGGTTGCGGGTGTTGGCGAAAATTCGGTGGGTTGGGCGTGTTGGCGAAAATTCGGTTGGGCTGGGCGTGTTGGCGAAAATTGGTTGGTTTGGAAGTGTTGGCGAAAAGTTGGTTGGGTTGGTGGTGGTGTCGAGGAGCTTGTTGGTTGTGTCGATCCAATAGAAACCGATATGGAAATTGGTCGATCAAATAAGCATGGTGGGGAGTAGATTAGTGTTAGGAATGAGCTGGATGCAGGGTAAGAATGGGAGGTAGCCTAAGTAGGATCTGGAAAATGGCCCATCTGGTCAAAAATTCGACCAAACCGTCAGACTTTCCAGATCTGCGCAACTCAGGTCGTGCAGATTGCGTCAGGTCGAGGCGCGGCCCGACTTCGGTTCGGGTTGGGTCGGGTCAACTCGACATGTCGGGTTCACCCGAACCCGTCCATGTCGGGTTCGGGTTGACCCGACCCGACGGGTACAAATCAAACCCGACGGGTCGGGTTCTTCTGACGGGAAACCTGACCCGACCCGTCAAAAAGTCGGGTTCGGGTCGGGTTACCCGACCCGACCCGACCCATTGCTCAAGCCTATTCAAACCACAACCAACCCTTTGACCCCCAACAAACCACAAGAAGTATTCGGGTCCAACCAAGGGTTGGCACTTGAACACCAACATTGGGGCCACGGTATAGTTGGTAAAAGCGACCAGCTTTGTTGGGTCTCCAATCATGTTGGGCCATCCCAACCATAGTCGACCTTCCGTTGACCACATTCACCACTTAACTACCCACCCTTCAACACTCGTAAGAAACCATTAATTCACATTCTTTCGTAGGCAGTGTTGGGCACTACACCTAAGTTTTGGCAACGTTCTTTTGGTACAACCCAAGAGGATTGTATTGAGAAACTATGGATCATAACAGTCGTCAGGTTATGCATTCAGTTTCTGGTGAGTACCGAACCTAAGGACGAGAAGAACAGTCCTAACCTAAGCATACAAGCTTCAATAACTCGCAAACGAGTTTTTTGCCACCTTTCGTGACACCCAGCAACTTGCTATCATTAGATATGCAGATATACAAAAATCAAGTTATTACCATCTTCCTGTATAACAATTATTCTTGCATGCGAAGACTGCCAAGCTGTCTACTAATGAATGCGCTTCAAAGAACCGTAATCATGGACACGGTTTTGTTGGATCCTCGTATCCTTGGAGACAAATTTGTCTGACGTTTCAATGTGATGTCTTGCAGGCTGTTCTGGCTGGCCTGCCAGCGACCATCCAAGTAGATGCACCGCTGATGTGGGTGGTGGAGGGGTATGCGGGCATGGCGGAGGTGTTTGTGTGCGCGCACATGCCCGCCAACCCCCTGCGCGCCGTGTACACGACGCCGGGGGGGCTGCTGTATGTGCGCGGCAGCAACGCGCAGCTCGCCCTGTCCGCCGCTTTCCTGCTCGTCCTGCTTGCCGACTCCCTCGCTGCCGCCTCGCGCACCGTTGACTGCCAAGGCGTCACCGTCACGCCCTCCCAGATACTGGCCTTGGGCCAGTCCCAGGTACGCGGGGATAAAGGAGCTCATGCATGCGCCCTGAAGAGCCCCAGCATTTGCTCGCATTGTGACTGCGCGTGGGTGGCTCAAGCCCCTTGCGGCTGCGTGGCAGCTCACGGAACGGACGGCCCCACCCAGCCCGTGTGACCCCCGTGCTCCCTCGTGGCAGGTTGACTACCTGCTGGGCAGCAATCCGCTTGCTGTCTCCTTCATGGTCGGCTTTGGCTCCGCCTTCCCTCAGAATGTCCATCACCGGGCGGCATCCATTGTCTCATTCAACACGGACCCCTCTCCAGTGACATGCCAGGGCGGCAACACCACCTACCTGCAGAGCACCTCTGCCAATCCCAATGTTCATGTCGGTGCCATCGCTGGAGGGCCCAATGCTGTGAGTCCTTGTGCGGTGAACCATCGTGTTGTTGTTCTTTTCTCATCCTCCAGTCCCATCTCAAACCCCCCTCCTTTCTTTCGAGCGGCCCATCATTATTGATCGTCAACGCATGCACTGAAGGCAAGGTATTGTCCTAGCGATCAACAACCCCCGCAGCCCCCTTAGGGCGCTATAGGTCGTGATACAGTTCACCCGGGTTTAGATACTCGGCGTAGCCATCCATGGCTCCCTCTGCGGCAGCGTTGAGGGCGATGGCCTGGCCCCACCGCAGGGTGACGTGCTGACCACGGTTGCCGAATTGGTGGAATGGCCTGGCCCACTCTGTGGAGGCGACGTCCACGTTGTGATGGCGCTTGGTGGCCAAGTTAGCGCAGAGGTGTAGAAACTCAAGTACCTCTGGTGAGGTGCGATAGTAGGTGTCCATGGCCCTAGGTCAGAATTCGGCCTAGCTGTTTCTACTCCAGTACTTGGGACACTTGTCCTGAGTGGCCACGCAGGTGGTACAGCCAGTTAATCTGGAGGTCGCTGGGGGAGTCCTGCTTCAATCTGGGGTCGGTGAAGCTGGCTTTTTTTTCCTCTTGAATGGTTCTCTCTCGAGTGGTCTTTTGCACTATAGTGGTAAAGGTACTACACTACGAACGGCATCTATAGGATGGAGTGATGCTCGCCAATGGTGAGTGGGTCCAAGAATGCCTGAGCTTGTGTGAAGGCTGTTTTTAACGTCATCGTTTCCTTGACACTGGCGGGGCCCCGCAGTATGCGCACGGGCTTAGCATATTCTTGGCCTGTTCTTTTTACACCACCCATCTGTACTGCTCGAATACAGTCGGGCTCGCAAATCAGCCAAGAGGCGTGCGGGGGGACATGAGTAAATGTCAGTTTGATGTGGAAAATGTAGCCAGCTTCTTAGACAGACTTTATGGTTTGGTAAACTTGTGCATTGTGGGACTGTTTCACTCACCCGCCCCACCACACGATGCAGCTGGTGCTTTGGGAGGGTCGGTCTAGGATCACTCCTGGTGGCGGCAGTCACACAGACCCTGCACGAGGTGGGGCAGGCGGATGCGGAGTGGCAGTGCTATCGCACATTGGACGAGGCGTGTATCATACAGAGGACGGGGGAGAACGGAATCGCTAGGAGCCAGTCCCACCCTGCTGCGAGCCTGAGCAGGGAGAGTGTTTGGCGGGTGTGTGAAATGTTGGGTGTTGCCACGCACATTCCTGCAGCCAGCCGTTGAAGCTCGCATCGTCCGCGTGGGTGAGTGTGGGGTTCGCCTGGCGTCCATACAACAGATGCACGAGGGGCAGGAGTGTGTGAAGTCTGCTGGCGAGGAGAGCAGGGAGGATAGGTGCGTGGTGGATGGGCTGGAAGGCGTTGGAGAGGTTCACCTGGACGGCTAGCTGGGCTGGATGATGCTGGAGGTGGATGGGCGTCGCGTGCATCACGACCTTTCACCACACACTACCAGGGACCGCCTCGCTGAGCTGCTGGGGGTACAAGTGCTTTCTTGTATGTTCGGCGGTGAGAAACAGCGCCGCCTTGGTGACAGAGCAGAAAAGCCAGTCCGCGACTGCTGTTGCTCACGTTCCGCCTCCTGGTTTCAGACCACTAAGAGGCAGGAGCCCGTCAGTTGGTCTGCTGCTGGTGTGGGGACCCTTCCTGTGAGGGACGCGTCACCCACTGGTTAGTGCCACCTTGCGTGGATGCTCAAAGGTTGCCCCTGAGGGCCCAGCCCCAACGCTACCAGGCAGCCGGTTAGGAGCCTTGCAAGATCCTCAACCTTCTTGGCTAGGGTGCTTCTGTAAGCACAAGGGGCGAGAGACCTTGGCTGGTGGGTGCTTGAAGCGGAGGGGCGCTACAGTCTCGTCTGGCACCTGGCACATGGAGTGGCTTCCACGGCTGGGACTGCCATGCCACAGTTCCTGAGCATGCCATGGTGCCACAGGTAGTGTGATACCTTTGTTGCCTCCCGGTACAGCCACACCCATTTTCCCCTGCAGAAGAGGTTCACTCGCCTCCTCGTAGCCAACCACTCCAGGATGTGGGATGGGGGGGAGCAGAGTGAGAGACGAGGCAAAGAAATCAGTCAGTGTTAGCCTGCCTCCGAGTTGGGATTCCCCGCCGAATGGAGCAGCAGAATCAGCACGCATCTCCTAACACATGTAGCTGCTCGCACACCAGAATCGCGGCGCGACAGAGCAGGCAGGCATGTCAGGTCCCTGTTGCAAAGCGGTTCAAACAGGTATTTGCACCCTGCTATGTGGGATGGTGAGAGTGGTTGGCCAGGTGGCGGTTGAGGCGGCGTTGCGGCGTTGAAGAATTCCGGGTCACCTTCGCTGCTGTTCGAAATCTGTGCCCGGGGGGGCGGCACGGTGCGAGGGATGGGTGAATGCGCTTTTCGTGATTTCAGAACATGAGTTCACTCCCAAGTGAGGGGTATAGGTAGGGTCGCTCTGCCCAGGAAGCTCAACCGCTAGCTGCCGCCCTTCCCTTGACACTCTACCTGCTACGTGCCTGAAGCTTTGCCCACCAACACGTTGAGGCTACTCCGCCAGGAGCAGGGCGGGTGGCCTGCAGGCGTCTTTGGAGGCGCTGCTGGGCGTACCCTTGTTGCAGCCCCTTGTCCCGGGCAGCGTGTCCGTGACCCGTTCCCGGTTCTCGGAGCCGTCCCAGGGGCTGATGCTGTGGTGGGACGCCGCGTGGATCCACCAGCTTCAATGCGCCCGGAGAAAGCCGCAGTTTACTCTTCAGCAGGCGGGGACTGGGTGCCTCGGTGCTGTCGTGGTGGAGAGCCAGCAGCAGGGTCTGAGTCACACCCCGAGCTTGTTGCGCGGGCAGAAGGCCTGCGCAGTGAAGGTGGCAACCCAGCTCTTGTGGGAGCTGGTGTGAGCTGGTGTGAGAGCTTGTGGAGGAGCTGCCCATCCACACCGTGGGCCGGGCGTTCACTCACTCAGCCCCTAGGTGTACCAGGTGGCGGCTGCATGTTGGTCCTGCCAGTGCTGTCGCCGGTATTCTCCATTGCGAAGTTCCTCGTGCCGAGAGCTGAGATAGAAAGCTTAGGCCCATCATGGGCGCCAAGATCTCTGCTGTAGTGCAGTTGTCTTGTATATGCAGCACCTCTTGTGAATGTCTTCCCTTCCCACACTTACCTTTCCTGACGACTTCCTGGACTCGCGCCTACACGCTCCCCTCTCTCTCCCGTACACTTCCCTTCCCATCCCCCCCCCCTCCCCCTCTCTCGCTGGTCCAGACGGACGGCTTCCAGGACTCGCGACTGCTCCCGGCCTTCACGGAGCCCTCTGCCTGCGCCAATGCTCCCGCTGTTGGCCTCCTCGCCCGCCTCGCTGCCGGCGCCCTCCCCCCGCCGCCCCGCCTCCCCCCTCCCCCCCCGCCCCACGCTCCCCACCACCTCCGCCCCCTGCACCTCGCCCTCCCCCACTGCGACTGCCCCCTTCTCCACCCAGACTCCCCCCAGGTAAGCCTGCCTCGTGTCCATCTCTTCCTTGCTGTCCCTCTGTAGCCTGCCGGCCTCTGCCCATGCCTATTGGCCGCCTGGGGACACATCAGTAGTTGGTTGGTTGTTAGTCTGGTGCGCTGTGATGCATGTGCCCGTTCTGCCCTGCATTTTTTGGCCTCCTTGTCTCCCAGTACATTCGTCCTTGCACCCGTTGTAGCCACACTGAAGTAGACCTCTTTTTCCTCCTTTACCATGCCCTTTCCTGCCCTTGCCTGAATGCAGTCCCTGCAGGTGTGGTTACAGTCATATGCACAGTAACCGGAAGCTGGGAGCAGTACGGTGAGCTACAGAAGATGTGGAGCTGCGATGTACGGAACACCAACACCAAGTACCCTGTCAAGGACATTCAGCTGCGCTGCTCCGGCTTCGAGCCCTTCAATGCGTGGAACATTGAGGTGGTCTCGTGCACACTCCCGTCCTGGGGAACCTATTTATCCCCCGGAGGGAAAGTGAATTTCGGGTTCATCCAAGCGGCAAGTCTGCAACCCAAGTTTGTTGTTACATGGATTACGTGGCTTGGCCCGCCCATGCGCCCTGCTTGCACCCCTCCAGCTACATGGTGGGGGAAGTTGCTTTGCCAGTGGTTCAAGATCGGCTGTTGCATATCGGGTACCTCCACATCAGCAGCAGCACCCAAGTCTTTTTTGCATGATGAACATTGATGTGACTTACGGTAAGGACGAGAAGGTGGCTGGTGCTAAAAAATTAATCTGTAATGGAAGGCTAATGAAATGGAGTGGCAACCAGATACCTTGACAGGTTTATCAAGCCTAGCGCAGAGTTTGACAGTACCGGTATGTCAAAATCATATACCCGTGAAGTACGGTATCTAAATACCGTAATCCCCCGTATACAACACCCGCCGAAATAGTCACTCCGCGGGTGGTTTATGCGGGGGTGAGCTTATGATAGGGTGCATTTTTGATAGCACCCGCTTTTCTGGGTTTGCATTTTACATAACACCCTCCTCGTTTTATGCAGAAAAAAACAGTAATCGTCGTGCATTTCCAGGTCCGCTCGGTTGAAAACAACAAGCAAGATTAAAAATGCAATGTCAACTACCATTAGCAGCCAAAAAACGGGCAGAAGAATAAACACAAGTTGCAGCGCAAAATCGAAACGTCAGGAGAGGTCGAGACTCGGGAGGATTTTGATCGTCGAAGTCGCAGATTCTGTTGTGATTTGACGGTAAAATCCCTCCCGAGCAAAATCCTCGGGACTTGACGATCGCAGGTGCGGCACAAAGCTGGCCCTGACCTCCGCACTCAGCAGGGATTGGCCAACAACGCCCCGAACGTACAAAATTTCGTCTCGGCACAAGCTTGTCTCGTTAACAGTCGCTCCGCACCAGGGCTGACGTTTCAAAAAAAGGCACTCTGATTTTACCCCCCCAAATTTTTCCCAAGTCTGAGGGGCCATTTTGTCAACTTATACATATTATCTATGTAGAAGTTATAGGCTAGACTGAGGTATGCTTCTAGTGAGTACAACCAACTAGTATTTGTTCTAGGTTTCCACTTCTAGTTATCATTTTTCGTTCTCACTTTAACATGGTATCAGAGCGTAGGTTAGCATCCCCCACCTACCGCTTCCGCCCGTACCCTAGCTAGGCCACGTCGCGCCTCCTAGCCCCGTCGCGCCTCCTAGCCACGTCGCCCCCCTCCTGGGCCACGTCGCCCCCCTCCTGGGCCACGTCGCGCCACCCTAGCCCCGTCGCGCCCCTCCTGGGCCCCGTCGCGCCTCCTAGCCCCGTCGCGCCCCTCCTGGGCCCCGTCGCGCCGCCCTAGCCCCGTCGCGCCCTACCTGGCCTCGTCGCGCCCGCTCGGCCTCGTCGCGCCCTGCCTGGCTCCGTCGCGCCCGCCTGGCCCCGTCGCGCCCTGCCTGGCCCCGTCGCGCCCTGCCCGGCCCCGTCGCGCCCTGCCTGGCTCCGTCGCGCCCGCCTGGCCCCGTCGCGCCCTGCCTAGCCCCGTCACGCCCTGCCTGGCCCCGTCGCGCCTGCCTGGCCCCGCCGCGCCTCCCTGGCCCTGCCGCGGCTGCCTGGCCCCGCCGCGCCTGCCTGGCCCGGCTGCACCTGCCTGGCCCTGACGCGCCTGCCTGGCCCCGTCGCGCCCTGCCTGGCCCCGTAGCGCCTGCCTGGCCCCGTCGCGCCTGCCTGGCCCCGCCGCACCTGCCTGGCCCCGCCGCGCCTGCGTGGCCCCGCAGCGCCTCCCTGGCCCTGCCGCGCCTGCCTGGCCCCCGCCGCGCCTCCCTAGCCCCGCCGCGCCTGCCTGGCCCCGCCGCGCCTGCCTGGCCCCGCCGCACCTGCCTGGCCCCGCCAGCACCTGCCTGGCCCCTTCGCCCCGACTCGTCCTGCCGTGCCGCCTCGGGCTCCGTCTCCTCTGCTCGCCCGTACTGAGGCGCTTCGCGGCCGCCGTGCTGGAGGGGGCTGTCGCTGTGTTCCTGCGTCGCTGTGTTCCTGTAGAGCTGTGCCGCTGACCTTGCACGATGACGGACTTCGTGCTCCGACTGGACGCCGAGGGCCATGCGGTTGACTTCGCCGCCTGGCTCTCCGATCTCCGCCGCCACCTTACAGGTCAGCGCCAGGATGGCCACTCTTTGGTTGTCCATGTCGACGGCTTGCTCCCTCGCCCCCCCGCACCTGCTCCCCTCCCTGCTGATCCCTCATCTGATGACCGTGAGACCTTCTCTACTGCTGCGCTTGCCCGTGCGGTCTGGGACTCCCGCGATGCAGTCGCTCAGGTTGCCATTAGCCACGCCCTCCCTGTCTCTGAGCGCTCGCATTTTGCTACTATTGAGACGACCAAAGCTAACTTAGACGCTGTTATTGCCCGCTATTCCACACCCGCGTCTGCTTCTGCTGGTCGCCTGCTCTTCCCTATGCTTTTCCCAGACCTTGCAGCTTTCCCTACCGTCGCAGACTTTGCCATTCACCTGCGTGCCCTAGAGACCCGCTATCGCACTGCGAGCACTGCCGCCCAGCTCACTGCGCTCCCCCCCCCTTTCTGCATGATGCTCTATTTTATCGCCATGCGCCTGCCAGACCGCCTCGCTAGTGCTCGCGATCACTTTCTTAGCCAGCACCCGGGTGACCTCACTCTCACTGCCTTTGTCGACACCCTTACCGAGATCGAGACTCGCCAGCGCACTATCGCTCAGTCGAGCGGTGCGCCGGCAGTTTCTATCTTTCACGGTTGTGCCCCCTCCCAGTGTGCGTTCACTGACGTTTCGGCCGCGGTCGCCTCGGCAGCCCCTCTCACCGAGACGGCTGGTGTGGTCCACCCGCAGCAGCGCTCGCGCCGCAGTGGCCGTGGTCGCCAGGGGGGTAGGGTTGGTGGTGGCAGTAGTGGTGGTGACGGTAGTCCGCCTGCGGGGACTACCACTGGTGGGCAGGAGCAGCAGCCCCAGTCGCAGCAGGAGCAGCCCCAGCCGCAGCCGCCGTCCCAGCAGCAGTCGCCGCAGCAGTGGGCCCGTCTCCCGCCTGGTTGGCCCGGCACCTCCGGAGGTAGTGGTCGTGGTGGCGGCCCGCGCAGCTTGGCGTCTACCGGTGGCTCCAGTGCTGTCACCTGCCAGTACAAGCTTCAGACCGGACCTCTTCGCGGCACTTTGTGCCGCCGCCCGCACTCGACCGCCCGCTGTTTCCGCCGCCTCGACGATCTCTTTCGTTGTCGCTTTGGCCCAGCCCTGGACCTCCCCGACTGGCACAGCCTGCTCCGCCAGGGCATGCCGATCTTTGAGTTAGACATGGATCAGCTAGGTGCTGCTTTGCATGCTTTGTATTCTGACGCTTCTAGTTTTGCTGGATCTTATTACCCTGTGTACTCTAGTTTAGGTGTTGCACCACTGTATAGCTTAGCCTCCCCTGCTGCGTCAGGCGTAGGACTGCCTAGGTTGCCTAGTCTAGTCGCTGCACCGGCTCCGTCCCCAGCCTCCGCCGCTGCGTCGCTGTCCTTCACTCTCGACTCCGGTGCTTCTACCTGCTTCTTCCGCGACCGTTCCACGCTCAAGCCGCTTGCTGCACCTGCTGTTGTCTCTCTCGCTGACCCCTCTGCGGGTCCTGTCGTCGCGCGCAGTTCTACGTCCCTTCCCTGTCCGGCAGTTCCCTCGGGCTCCCTTACTGGCCTCCACGTTCCCTCGTTCTCGAGGAACCTGGTTGGTGTCGGCTGTCTCCAGGACCTCGGCGTCACCACCACGTTCCCCGGGCACGAGCGGTTCGCTGTCTGTTCTGAGGCTGTCTCAGGTTCCCCCCTTGCGACGTTCCCCCGGGACCCGGTGTCCGGTCTGTTTACCCTAGACACCGCTTCCCCCCCGGTTGGTGCGTCCTCCCAGGTCGCTGCAGCTTGCTCGTGTCGGTCCCTCACTCACCCCTCCCTTCTCTGGCACCACCGCTTAGGTCACCCTGCTCTCCCGCGTCTGCGTCACATGTCTCAGCACGGTCTTGTCTTAGGTCTCCCCGTGTCGCTCCCTGCCCTTCCTCCCTCGACTGCGCCACCGTGCACACCTTGCGTCGAGGGTCGGCTCCTCCGTGCTCCTCACTCCTCCTCGCTACGTCCTGCTACTGCCCCCCTTCAGACCCTGCACCTGGACGTCTGGGGCCCTGCCCCCGTCCCCGGACCGCGTGGTGAGCGCTACTTGTGCTCGTCGACGACTACACGCGCTACACCACGGTGTTCCCCCTGGAGCGGAAGGCCGACGTGCCCGACGTTCTTCTCCCGTGGGTTGTGGCTGCGCGTCTCCACCGCGGTCTCCCCGTGTTGTGTCTCCACTCCGACCGTGGCGGCGAGTTCGCCTCTGGTCGGCTTGGACAGTTCTGTCGTGCGGAGGGCATCACCCAGTCGTACACGTTGCCGGACTCGCCACAGCAGAATGGGGTTGCTGAGTGCCGCATCGGCTTGGTCATGGAGGTCGCCCGTACCTCCATTATCCATGCGGATGCCCCCCATTTTCTGTGGCCATTCGCTGTTCGCTACGCTGCTCACCAGCTTAACCTGTGGCCATGCTCCCAGCGGCCGCAGGTTTCGCCGACCCTCCTTTGGACCGGGTCCCCCGGTGACGCGTCTGCGTTCCACGTCTGGGGCTGCCTTGCTCACGTTTGTGCCTCTGGCACGGACAAGCTCACTGCCCGCACTGTCCCCTGTGTCTTCCTCGGTTTCCCCCTGGACTCGTCTGACTGGCTTTTCTACAACCTGCCGTCTCACCGCTTCCTCCACTCTCGTGACGTCACCTTTGACGAGTCCGTCTCCTTCTACCGCCGCTTCCCTCACCGAGGTCTCCCAGTTGCCCCCCCCCCTGTTCCTTGCTCCCTCTCCCCTGGTAGCCCCTGCCCCTCTCCCGCCTCGTCCTGCCCCGTCTGGTGTCTCTCACGTCACTCCCCTCCCGTCGGTTGTCCCCGTTGAGGAGTCTGCTGACTCTGGTGGTACCCCCGGTCCGTCCTTGCCGCGCCCCCCTTCCCCGGTGCCTCCGCCCCCACTGTCGCAGTCGCCGACCCCACTGCCGCAGCCGTCGCCGCTGTCGCCGCCGCCGCAGCCGTCGCCGCCACTGCCGCCGCCGCTCTTGGCCCCTGGGGGTGCTGGTGTGGAGGAGGGTGTTCGTCCTACGGCTTCTGGGGGTGCCGCTGGTGTTGACGGGGGTTCTCGCTCTGGGGGTGTTGGTTCTGGGGGTGCTGCTGTTGAGTGTTCTGCCGACGGTCGTTCTGCCTCTGCTGGTTCGAGAGTTCCGGCCCAGCCGTCGTCGCCGCCACAGCAGCCGTCGCCGCCGATCTCCGCTCTCCGCCTGCTCGGCCTTCCCTCCCCGGACCG